TTTTGTTTTGTGTTTCTGTTGCATTTTGAATCTAGAATTCTTAGGTTTCATCTTAATTCTACCAGGAAACAAATTCTGAGGGTCACCCTTCAATCTGGGGCTGTGATCGCTTCTGTAGAGAGAGCCAGAGTCTCCCAGGTCTCCCAGTCGTGGCCTGGTCACGTCGTCACAGGAGGCGACGCCCACCATCCCTCCCTCCCTTCCTCTCTTGCACAATCACTCATTTGCGCGTGCCCTCAACAGACAGACTGTGAGCAACTGCCCTGCGCTGGCCACGTAGGGTCTGGGGAAGGCACAGCTGAGGACCAGGGGCCAGCGCAGCTCAGCCAGCGGCCACTAGGCACCTCACTTGGCCTTGCTCTTCACACCAGCTGGGAAGACGAGCCACCCCAGGGCAAGAGGCGTGCACGCGGGGCAGGGCGGAGTCCAGACCCAGACAGGGGCGGCAGGTATTGAGGTCTGGGGCAGGGATGCTGAGTTGGCCACCTGGCCTCTGGGCTCTGCCCACCGTACCTGGTTGGGGGTTCTTGAGTCCGAGGTTGGATCTCTGAAGTAGCCTCCCCAACCAGCCTGTCACTGGGGCCAACACTGAGTGTCAAGTCTCTGTGGTGGCCAGTGAGGGCTAGAGAGGCCCCTCTGAGGGCTGGAACTGTGTCCCGCACGCTGGAGATCGGGGTGGCAGGTGGGGAATGGGGAGCGAGGGCTGTTGGATCAGGGCCTTTGTGCTTCTTTGCCTGTGACTCTGGGTCTAAATCCTTGCCACCTTTGAAGCCCAAGGAAACAGAAACCATGCAGATTTCTCTCTTAGTTGAGAACTCAGCTGTCGCCCAACGCGGCGAGTAGTACCAGAAACAGCTCTGAGGTCTTCACAAAAAGACTCTGTAAGGGCAGCCCTTGGGTTGGGGCCTCTGAGCTAGCCGTGCTCGTCTTTGGAGACAGAAAGTGCCTGTGTATGTCTGGGCCCCTCTTCATCTGGCGGACTCCAAGGGGAGGGGTGAGCCGGCCCCGCGGGCACTGGCTGCTGCTCCGTGTGTTCGAGAGACATTTGGAAAACAAAACTGATCTCTCAGCAGATGTCAGTTAAATGCCTGCTCTATTCCACATGGTGTCCTGGGCTCAGAATAAAAGGAAAGGAGAAACACCCCACCCAGAGATGGCCTTGTTTTGCTCTTGTCTTCCCCCCTAAGCTTAGGAGTCTTTCAGAGGGCACCCTGTGGCTGGGCATTGTGCTTGTCAGTCCCCATCCCGGGCTGAGTCCTTTGAGACCCCAGGTGCTGGGTAAAGCCACAGGGCCCACGCTCTCCTCTCCTGGATGTGGCCGGGCTGCCTGTCCCAGCCCCTCCGCCCCGTTGCCTTCCGCAGGCACCTCTGCTGGCCTTGCCACCACTGCGAGAAGGCCAAGGACCTGGGCAAGTATATCTGCCAGCGGTGCCACCTGGTCATTGACGAGCCGCCTCTCATGCTCAGGAGCGACGCCTACCACCTGGACCACTTCAGCTGCACCCACTGTGGGTAGGCGCACAGCTCGTCCCTGCGAAGGGGCAGGTGGAGAGCCAGGGCCATCCCGGAGCTGGATGCGGCAACCCCGTGCGGGGCTGCAGTGGGGCGGGAGAGGAGAGCGGGTGGGCTGGGAGGGGCTCTGGTGAGCAGGGTCCACGGCTGCAGGGTGAGATGGAACGGGGGTTGGGAAGTGATTGCGGCAGAGGCTGCTCTCTCTGGGGCCCTGTGGAGGGGCCGCCCGAGACTCAGGTGAGGGGAGGCTCAGGTCCCTGGACTGCCCGTGGTGGCCGAGAGGAAGCATCAGAGAGGAAGGAATCAGAGGGTCGGGAGGGAGAGCGGGGGCTGGCGGCCCTGGAGTCGTTCTGGTGCTAGCGTGGAGAGGAGTGTAGAAAGGGGCTGCAGAGCCGTGGCCCCTGCCTCCCCCCGTCCCCTCTGGGTCTGTCCCTGGCGCCCAGTCTGGTTTAGGGGAAGAGGGAGCCTAGAACAGACCTGTGTCTCAGAGGACAGTTACTGTAGAACACAGGCTGCCTTCTGCCAGGCCTGTGTGTAAGTCCCTGCTCCAGGGCCCATCTGGGGCACAGGAAGTCTTCCAAGGGCCCAGAGATCGTAGCGCACACCCGCCCCAGCGCTCTGCTGGGACAGAACGAGCCTCTTGGGGAGCTGGACAGGAGGGACGAACGGACCCTGCAGAAGGGCAGGGACTGCACTTGGCCCTGCTGTCTTCCAGGAAGGAGCTGACCGCCGAGGCTCACGAGCTGAAGGGTGAGCTCTACTGCCTGCCTTGCCATGACAAGACGGGCGTCCCCATTTGCGGGACCTGCCGCCGGCCCATCAAGGGCTGTGTGGTCAACGCACTGGGCAAGCAGTGGCACGTGGAGGCGAACCGGGCTCGGGGACGCGTGGCCTCAGGATGGACTCATGTCAGGGTCACAGCCGGCTCCCGTGAACAGTTCGGGGTGCTGCCCTCCTGTGGTTGGCCGAGGACTCCAGCCATCCCACAGGAGCCAGGAGATCACAGAGGTGGTTGGGCAGCCATGCCCACCTTCCCCTTCTCCTTTGGGCATTTACAAAGACTCCAAAGTTGGGAGAAAACCTGGGGACCATCTGCCCACAGTGCCTGAGACCGCGATTGTCATCTGCTTTGTCTTGTGAAGCCACAACGGTTTCTGCTTTTTCTGGAAGAGGCTCTCTGCAGACCAGGCCTCTCAGGCCTCCTACCCACCTGCCCCCTCCACTTTCTCATGTGCACACTTCCACTCTGCACACATTTTATTGAACATTCTGGTGGGGTGGGGCGTCCTCTCAGCCATCCACTGTGAGCCTGGAGGCCCGAGACTCCTGCCCCAGCTTGGCCCGTGCCTGAGGAAGGAGGCCACCTGGGATGCCAAGGAGTGGGGCCTGTGTTGGGAGCACATGCCTGCAGAACGCAGGCCCTGGCCAAGAAGGGGGACTGAGTGGTTTGGCCAGCACCCACCGCTAGGGGCTGACCAGGGTGGGGTCCCGGGAACCCCGCTGTTTGTTCATGGTGCTCAGGAGATGCTGCACGTAAGAGGACAGCAGGTCGTCCATCTTGTAGCCCTAGGCAGGAGATGGTAGGGTTAGAGGCTGCAGGTGCAGGGAGTGCAGGTGGCGGTTGGGACTCAGGGAGCTGGTGGCATGCAGCTTCTCTGCCTCAGCAACCAGCGCTCAGGGTGTGGAAAAGAGGGAATGCGGGCATCTGCTGCTGGGGCTGCCTGTCCACTTCTGCCTGCCCTGCCGGGCTTCCCCCCATCAGAACGGGCCATAGCACAGGGAGCCCCACTGTGAGGCCTTGCCGCCCTGGCTGCTGACCTTGGGGATGCACCCAGCCTCCCCCCGAGTCTGCTGGCCCCGCCTGGGCCCCATGGCCAAGCACTCTCAGTGAGCCACTCGCCAGGTGGCAGCGAGGATGAGGGCAGGAGCCCAGACCCAGTGCCCCTGGCCTGAGTATCCGGGCTGGGAGGCGGGACTGGGCTCACCAGGGAGGTCTCGCACAGCAGGCGGCTGCCCCGGCCCAGGGTCCCCAGCACCATGTGGAAGTAAGTGCTGCCGCTGCTCCAGCTGGCGATCTTGGTGAAGGGGTGGGTGGTGAGCAGGTCCTGGGGGGAGAGAGGGTTGGGCAGGAGGCCTGTGGAAGCCCACCCAGCCAGGGTTCCCCAAGCCCAGGGGCTGCGTGTGTGTCTGTGGGGGGAGGGGGACGGAGGGAGGCAACCACACCCCTCTTGCAGCGCCGCCCCAGCCCTGCCGGAGGCCCAAGCGGCTACCTTGGTCTTGGGGTGGATGAGCAGAACCCCATGCCGGTTGATGGCGATGAGGATGATGTCTGGGTAGGAGGGCTCCGAGGTTTGCTGGGAGGAAGGGCACAGTGGTCACGGTCCAGCCCAGGAGGCCAGGAGTCATCTTCTAGGAGCTCACCGGGACACGCACAGGTGCACACACACCCACACGCTCCAACCTGCCAGCCAGCCCCACCTGAGACGCGTGCTGGGGAGACCAGGGGATGCTGGGACTGCCAGGCGGGCTGAATGGGACCGGCTGGGTTAGGAGCCTGGGAGCAGGTGGGGCCTACCTTCACCTCGAAGAAGGCAGACCCGAAGGTGGGCCACCGGCTTATCCACTTCAGGAAGGCCACCTTGGCCTCCTCCACCGTCGTGTCCTTGTGCTTGTCATAGGCCAGAAGGATGCTCTGGGGGCGGGGAGGGCCAGTGAGGGCTGGGGGAGCTGCCCTGCCCAGACCTGGCCCTCCGCACAGGGTCTGGGCACCCAGGGGCCCCTGGAGCCCCGCAAGAGCAGTGCTGCCTACCCCGGGGGCCAGTGTGTGGAAGGGTGGAGAGGGAGGCGGGTGTGGGGGAGAAAGCCTTGCAGCACCACAGATGGCGTGGGGAAGGCGAGGTGTGCACGGGCCCAGCCCCCACCCCCCCCCACGCCAGCAGCGGGCTCCTCGGGCCAGGCAGGTGTGGCACCGGGAGGGGTCCCGGGGAGCGGCAGCCCGAGGCCCCTCCCAGCCCCATCAGGGACCTTCTTCCACTCCTCCGCGGACATCAGGCGTGTGAGGCTCTCGGGCACCAGTTCCCTCAGGACCTTGGGGACATGAGCCAGCTGGGACCGGTCGCCGTCAAACTGGGCCTTATAGACGAGGCCCGCCAGGTGGACGGCATCCTCCCGCGAGCACTTGTGGAACCCACGCAAGTACTTGGGCAGCTCCTGGGTGGCGACAGGAGCCTCAGACGGCGGCCTGCGCAGCCAGCCCTGCTTCCTGCTCGGTCGGTGGGACTTGGGAATTAGCCCGCTCCATCCAGGACAGATTGAACAGGCCACAGGCGAAGGCCGTCAGGGTAGTTTTGGGGACAAGACCCCCGAGTCAGGGCTGGGCTCCC